GGGGGGGTCAATACCATGTTTGTGGAGTTAGCCTTGATCCTGTGCTGACATCCCATCCAATGATATTTACTTTGAACACACTTCACTATAATCTCTGATATTTCTAGTATTTATAATTACATTGTGTTTGACGAAGGAGAACGCATACTAATCAGGACACTAATTGTGTCACTAGTCTTCGCTGAGAGTTCGATGCCTTGCGAATATTAAAGATGCGGTACAGTCCGTATGTAAACAAAGGCTTTGTTTACATTTCGGTATCCAAACTAATGAATTTTATTCGACAACTAGTTATATTTTCATGATTCTAGAGTATAATAAATTATCAAGAGACAACAATCAAGCTTTGCAAGAACATAAGATGAAGTAAAAACCTAAATAAACTGTTTGTAAATAAAAAGAGGACTCCTTTGTGCACATGCACAGATCGGACTGTACCGCATCTTTAATTTGTTTGAACGCACTTCACTATAATCTCTGATTATTTCTAGTAATTATAAATATTTATTCATATTTTGCCAAACACAAGTGTGATTTTTCTTTAATACTTCGAGAACAAGACTTAGTGTAATTTCCTACATGAGCAATCAATGACAAGAAACATTGTGTTTTATGTATTCAAATGAGCAAAGATTTGAGAGCAAGTTCTGACATTAATTTTCGATTTTATATACCTATAAAAACTTTCTTCATTATGAAAGCATATAAACAAGAGCTTGTTGTAAAATAAAAACTCAGAAAATGTACATTTTAAAGTTGTTTATTTGGATTTTCATGCAGGCTTGTATCTGTGCCGACTAATCTCTAATACAATCGGAACAGTTTTTAACCAATCAGAATACGAGTAAATGGATTAAAACGATATTATATAAATAATTATTATTATTTTTAATTAATTATTCAATTAATTAAAATTTTATATACTAATAATATATTCATCAGCTTTACAGGTAACAGTTTTTTAGCAAACAGAGGAGTTTCTGCCAGTAATTACGGGAACCACTCAGTATTTTAAGAAAATACAAAATAACAGTAACTCCAAATAACATTTTGATTTATAATCGACGTTTCGACTAGTTTGTAGTCATCCTCAGGATTAATAATAGTGTAAAATTACAGATGCAGCTATTATAAAGCCAGAAAGGCAGAGCTTAAATGCCAGTTAATGAAATATGAGAAGTTCTTTGGAAGCTTTCGCACCGTGGTTGAGATCAGGTTTTCGTCTGCGTATAGCAAGAGACTCCTTGAATAACAACAGAGACCAGTGGTCTGACCTATCAATTATTTTACAATTTCTAAATATTAGTTGAGTTAAATTAGTGTTTATAGTGTTAGTTGAGTCAGGTGAAAGTTCCATAAGGGATTTGATGTGTGTGTTGATTTCCGAGTTTTCTCGTGTGCTATGCTCTTTCAGACGGGTGTATAGACAGCGGTGTTATTGAAAAATTTAAGTAAATGTAAGTAAATGTTCCAAGCTTATTTAGCAAAATCTGCCAGTGTTATTGCAAAATTTAAGTCTGAAAAGGTAAAATATGATTTAGTTCTTAAACTACATTGTTTTTCATATTTTAATTGTTGCAATTTTTACATAAACATAGCATTCAAATTTGCTCATGCAAGAATGATAAATGACTTTGTGTATGGTAATAATTACTTGGATGCTGCTGTCATTTTGAATAGATGCATGCATGGTTAATCAACCAACAAGAATGTTTTTGCATGAATACAAAATTGTTGTGTTTATGTCCAGTATAATGAATAGATTTCGGTTTCCTGTAAATGTTTCAAGCTTATTTAGGACCATATTAATATATTTTTAGGACCATATTCATATATTTGTGTTCACAGACCTTAAAAACAATCGATTTCAAAAGAAATTAATAATGCAGAACACGAATATATGAATAATGCGTGTTGAGAGTGTAGCAATAAACGTGTGTCAGCTTCTTTGTGGTTACTCTCTAGTTCTCGTATTTCTTGATGTAGTAGAACAGCATTTGGAGAGGAACCAGGGACTAATAAATAGCATTGTCTTTTGAAGTGATATACATACACTCTAAATTATTGAGTTTAGAAGTTTCATATGTACACTCGTACTCACTAACGATTCTTTGTTCTCTCCAGAGCTCATGTACGTTCTCCACAGCTTTGGAACATTCTGATTTTTGTTCAGGAACTCTCTGCACTCCTTGAGCAGCTCTTCTTGATCTTTCAGCATTTTTTATACTAATTACTGGATACCTGTCTTCAACGAAATCCAGTCTGACTGCTTTTGATTGCCTGGCTAGCTTCATCAACAAAGCAAAGGTAGCGTCTGCAAAGTCACTAATTGTTTTCCAACTTCCTTTCATCGCATGCAAGATCACAAAGGCGTCAACAATAAGTGCATTACGTTCGCCAATGCTCTCGAAGTTCACAACTGGATCTTCAACCATACTTTTCAGAATTTCGAACATCTTGGACTTCGCCGTCTTCACAAGTCCTCCAGTAACCATAGCAAGGGAAAGCGGGTAATCGCTTAGACTGTAAGAGAGTAATTCTTTCAAGTCCAATTCCTGCGATTTAGACATAACAAGTAACCAGGCGAAAAGGTTTCGATCTGTCTTCAAAGCAATCAGCTGGCCTTTGCAGTTTTTGATCTTTATATTGTCAGACGAAAATGTTTTAAGTTTGTTCTTTTTAATCGAATTGAAGATGTCTGGATCATCGGTAAAAAGATTCTTTTGACAAAATTCAGAAAACTGATATTCTCCAAGTTCTTCAGCATTGAGGATTCCATCTGCAGTGAAAGCATCGACTTCCATGCCATTTGAAATATTAACAAGACCGATCTGTTCACCAATGAAAGGATTTGTCATATTTGAGATGGTGGATTTAGCCTCATTTACAGACTTCTTGTGTGTTTCACTCTTGGTTCTATCGAGATCATTCCTAAGCCTGGAAAGAAATTATGTTTTGATAACAATATGGAGCCAGATGGGGAACGCCCCCCCCCCCTCCCCCAACCCACAGCTAGTATGTTAAAAAAGGCCCTGCTTGAGGTAAAAATTAGAATAGACTTTACCGGGGAATACAATCCATTCCAGCCATAGATTGTAGGGAATAAGTTAATCAAGACATGTCTTATACAAGACGTGAAAACTTTTGTTTGTAAGCAAAGTAAGTCTGTATAAATGTTTATTTTAAGAATGATAGAAAAATAAACGACTTAGTGTCAGCAATTTCTTCACATACTTATCATCATGGTTGAGTATGACATATACCTTTAATCCTCATCTTGAAAAATCCTGGCAACCGAAGACAAAAATGACATAATCACATGAAATTCCCCAAGCCGCACAACAAAACGATTGTAGAAAACGTCATTTTTCCACCTGATCTGCTGTACTTTAGAATATATAGCTTCATCGAATACCAGTGTTGCAAATCGTAGCTGCAATTTGTCTGCAATTCCCGTGCACCTTTTCAGAATAGCATGAATCGTTGAAAACTCTGTTGCAGATGCGTCGATAACGGGAAGATAGCCAATCCTTTGAAACATGGTGAAGAATATCCTCACACAGTATTGTGTTAAAGCCAGTCCATCCTGGAACGATATAGTCATCTGACAGCACACTTTTAATCAACACGTAAGCCAAATCAAGTTGCAGTCGTATTAGTAACTTGTTCTGAATTATGAAACTTGGGCGTCTTTTTAATTCCAAGACTGAAAGGCATGACGTCTGAACTGGATACTTTCACTGTCCGCTGGCATTTATTTATCGTTACAGTCTGTTACAGATAAACTTGCTTTTCTGATGTGATTCTCTGAGTAACAATACCGTTAGTCACATGTGTCTGTTTAGTGATCTCCTCCCCAAAATCAATGTTGTCGTAAACTATGTTGACAGCTTCATTTGCAACGAATTCTTTTGGAATCAAATTTGCTATATTGATATTCAATTGCACGATTGCTGTGTCATAAGACATTGTGGTGGATAAGGACACACAATGTCCAAGACCATTCAAGATATCAATAAAGCCAGAACAATATAATACAAATGTGTTGTTATAATAATTATAAGAATCAAATTTTTTTTAAAGCTGTTATGCATGGTTAATTAACCAGACAGTACAGTACAGGCTGTGTTATATCGGCCATGCAGAGAATTTCCACATTGCCATAGAAAAGGAAATCTTTTATTTAATACATGTAGCTGGTGTTTCAATGTACTATTAAATCATTATGTGGTAACAAACCTTATAATCCCCTCCAAGGTAAAATTCAAGATTGATTTTCTTGCCATCAACATTTATTTCTCTGGTTGCAATCAGATCATTAATTTCTTTGAAAAGATTTTTACCAGCAGTTTGCAGCACACCATAGTCCTCTTTACCATTGAGAATTGCAACTGTGTGAATACCTTAATAATTCATTGAAACATATACAAATGAATATATACAAATGGTGTGTCCAAGTTTCAAATGTCAAATATATATTATCCACATGTCTATACTTACCCTTTGTAGACATGACTTTTTCTCCCTCAGATAATAGCGAAAATGACGGAACAACAAAATTACTAATTCTGGACATTTTTGCTCCATCCCCACTTATCTTCACTCTTTGTGTAGTGAGCATTTTGTCTCCAAGTTTCTCCATCTAGAAGAGTGTTGTTAGAAAAAGCTTTAAAAAGTAGCCAGCAGGGGCATCGCTAGCCCTATTTGAATAAGGAAGAGAGTAAGTGAAAATTTGCCAATTCATTTCCACTACTGGGGGGAAGACTGGTTAAAGAGGTGAAGATGGGCATTCTGACATCAAAGGTTTTTCTGGACATTATTCTTTATAGTCTCCGGCCTTAACAATTTTGTATATTTCCCCAAACTTGGGCTATAATTAGTATAGTTTTTAATCAGTTTCACTCCGACTAGCATACAATAATTTGCTGACTATGTGAGGACTGCAGGTGGGGGGTGTTTCACCAAACACACCCCTTCTAGTGACACCCCTTGGTGGCTAGTCACTACTGTAAGATAGACTCACGTAATATATGTCATCAATCACAGTGGCGGTGGAACAGTTTTTACTGGGGGGACTAATTTCCGTAAACTCTTCAACATGTAATATAAGCTTAGGATAATAAGGAAACTTACTTTCTTTGAAAGCTGATGGTTGAATTTATCCTTAAAACTCAGCTGTGCACCAGGCCATTCTCCAGGAGTTCTTGAAATGCTATACACTTTGTTGAGATCTTGTCTACATTGTTTTATCAAATAGCTGCGGGGAAGACCATCATTGTTTGTCATGCTGAATTCATGATATGCAGCATCACTTATACAAAACTTGTCCATAATGTAGACAACATTCCTGACCTTGTCTTTGTCCTCTTCTGAAAGGAATTGATATGCAGACTTTTTCTCATTATTGTACTGCAGAGTCACCTTTTCCCCAGTTTGGCAATCACTGAGAAATAGCTTATCTAGCTAAATCCAAATGACTCGAGAAACCAGAGGGCTCTTTCTGAATTACTTTTTAACACTTTTAGGTTTCGTTGCTTCTAGGTGTAGCTTACTTCATTATATGTACGACCATTGTTCCTGTAATTTGAGTCGCAGTGTTTACACAAGTCTCTGTCTACAAGAGAATCGACATATTCTTTTAATTTATCATTTTGGTTTGATATTTCAGAATAAGACTGTTCAAGGTCAGCTGCTCGCTGGGTAGTTTGCCTGAGTTCTGCAACCTCCTGCAAAAGACTGTCACATCGAGCTTCAAGAGTTTCAAGTTGTTCTTGTAATTCCTTCTTCTCTTCCTCAAGGCTGTTAATTTTAATTGATATACAGCTAATTTCTTGACTTTTTGAAGTATCTTTATTCTTGTAGTCCCTTTAGTTCCAGTATATTCCCTTTAGTTCCAGTACATTCCTTGGCAGCAGAGCAACTCAGTTCTCTCAGGCGTGGTTGTATACAGTTGTAACTTAGCCTCCTCTTTTAAATTTAAAGTACAAGACGGGAGATTTTGCGAAAGGAAATGCAAATCCACGTATGACAATACGAAGAGTTTTTTTACTACTTTCATTTGGTGCCACTTAATTAAAATTTCATAAGAAATCGAAAAAGTAATAAAATTTCATAAGAAATCGAAAAAGTAATAAACACTTTGTTGCTATTCTGCTTACGGATGTAGGAAAGGCAACTTTCTGATGAAAATGTCAAGGTTGACTTGAATTTAAGATAATCATGAATATTCAATTCCTCCGACATTTGTTTTCTTTGTTTGTATTATAAGTCAAATCTCGCGCGCACCAATTGGCGGGGAATTTCTTAAGGTTCAGTCCGCTGATCGTATTCAGCTTGGGCTCGATGAAAGATGTACCAAAGTTGTACAGGGCAGCGTTCTTTAGCATTAAAATATGCGGCTTGAGCCTTGTTGAATTCGATCTCTGAGCTTCGAGATCCGAATTCTACTGCTTACAAGCTTTAATTTGATGTATTAGGTGAACGTTTACACCAAATACTTTCCAAATTATCATCGTCCGAATTTTGGTAATATATCGAATGTGATTCTGGCTATTGCCATTATGTTATCAAATGCGTAACTTTGGATTTAAAAAGTAAATGTCGATTTAAACATTATCAAGGTATACAGTCTTTGAGTATACATATAATGTATTGAATTTAATTGCCCGAGGTTCACATTTTTCCCTAGCGCTATCATTTCGTTTAAATATGGAAATTAAATTGACACATTTTATCAAATTAATAGGGTTTATATTAGCTGTTCTCGCGTTTCTGGCATACAAACTTCACATTGTAAAAGTAAATACCTTTTTTAAAGTTTGCCAACAAAATTTTGGAATCTAACTTAGATTATAAGTTTCTTATTCACATGTGAGGTTCACACTGAATTTGTTCAAATCGTACTAAAAATCTGTATTTGAAGAATAAATGTTGCCTTATATGTTTTCCTACTATTTTTGTTATATATATTGCGCGCACTGACGTAGCGTGGGACGAGTATAATTAATTCGCGTGGTGACGATTTCTAGCGATGATAGTGGCTGTTTATAAGATCGAGACTGATTTGTCTGGCCTGGGTGGCCACCTTAGCTGGTTGAGTTTATCATTTTCTTCATAGAAAGCACTAAAAGCAGACTATTCTTGTTAATTCTTACCTTACAACACCAGTTTGTCAACTCAATCCAGATCTGATTGTTGAGACTTGAGAACAATATTTGGAGCCAGGCTGAAAATATATAAAGAGAACATTTGAGGCATTGTCTCAGTGCTTCACTGCTCGTACATCTTCCAACTTTTACAAACATATCGTTTTATACAACTGAAGCTCATTAATAAACAGCTTGCAAGATTCTCCCCTTGACAAGTAAAATTGTCTGAAGCAACACAGTTGCAGCTAATGGGATAAGGATTAATACACTGATATATCACATTCAAAGCTGTAATTCTTCTGTAATTACAATCCTTATTCACATATTAAAATGCTAACATATCTTTAACAGCATTCAAATGTTTAATATATTATTTCATATTGTTAAAAGCACAAGTATTTTAATATATTTCTTCATATCGTTTTATGCCCGAGCCGCACCGTGCGAGGGCACTAATTAATTCCCCCGGCTATTTACACCCGGGGAAACCAAAAGCATTAGCGAAGTCTAAAGTTCACCAATGATCATGGGCGTGGCTCACTGTGCTCATGAATAGCAAACACTGTAATTGGTCTAATTTAAAGCTTCTTGAACAGACAAAAACAGCTAACAAGAAAAAAGCTGGACTGAACAGATCAACAAATACTATTCAAGAGGATATCAAAACCAACAGGGATTTGGTCTTGGGTGTAAAAAACGAGGTAGAAGAACTTGCACAATACATGCGAAAAGATTGCCTCGAAGTTGCAGGAGTAAAGCTGAACGGCGAATACAACAGTGAAGATATTGTTAAAAATATTGGAGAAATACTAAACGTTGATATCGACGAAAAGGACATTTCAATAGCCCATCCGTTGCCCTCGTTTAACGCGCAGCAATGTTCGTAATGAATACTATGCGAAAAGAAAAGCTCTCGCTGGACAAAACCTTAAAACCAACCCTAAAGTAAAGAGTTTTCTTGTTGGAAATAACATATATATATCGGAATCCCTTATTCCTCAAAGGAAAAAGCTTTACAGCGATGTTAACAGATTAAGAAAAAAGCTGAATTGGAAGTTTATTTGGACGCATAATGGAAGAATCTACATAAGAAAAAATGAAGTGGTGACTGAACATTATGTTTTTAATACATCTAATGACCTCGAAAAGTTTCAACAACACTTTCAAAGATGAATACCGAAGGGCGAAGGCATGCATTAAAGGATTCAAGATGTCGTCCATGATTTGGTATTTATATTTATTTAACATGATGATATTAAACCATATATTATATAGAGCTGTTAAAAACGTATTTTTAAGGCTGAAAAGCGTTAAAGGCTTCAATATTCTATGTTATTTAGTTAAACAATGCTTGAATTTATGCATAATGGTCATATATACTTAAGTCCATTATGATGCTAAGTTAACTTCCATTCTATAATCTTGCAGATGAAGAATTTTATAAAGAAACAGGAGTGTGGATTTATAACTCAGCTAATTCATTACTTAATGAGTCCAGAGATCTATTTAAGGATATTATTGAAAGTCCAGATAAAGTAAATGATTGTTATGAAAACTTAGCTTCTGACTTTCTCAAATCTAAATATCTCACCATAAAACAATCCGGGTCTAAGTTTTTGGATATTAAGCATAAAGGCTTCTCGCTATTGCATTGTAATATCCGTAGTTTATCGAAAAATCTAACTCTACTAACTGACGTGTTATTAGCGGTAAAAGAGTTGCCGAATATTATAGCTATTACTGAAACGAAGCTCACTGAAAATAGTCAATAAAATATAAATATCCCTGGCTATAATTTTGTTGGGGTGAACTCTAAAACTTCTGCCGGTGGAGTAGGATTTCATATATCTGAGAATATTAATTTCAAAATATGAAATGATTTAGATCTAGGTATTATTGAGGATGTTGAAAAGTTGGATTGAAATCCAAAGGCCAAAACACATTAAAATCGCAGTTGTATTTACAGACACCCATCACAAAATCGTCAAAATTTTCATGAAGCTATTGAATCTCAATTAAATAAGCTAAACAACGAAAGGTGCGAGGTTTATATAACCGGGGATATGAATATAGACTTTTTAAAATATAGCTCTGATAATAAAACATCAGATTACTTAGACATGTTATTAAACCTGGGTTATTTACCAATAATTACTAAAGCTACCAGAATAACAGACCACAGCACTACACTCATGCATTGACCACATTTACACAAACAGTCCTCAAAAGGTGGCGAAATCTGGTATTTGCCTTGTTGGGATATCGGATCATTTGCCTGTTTTTTGTACCATTGAAAATAAACTCCCGATATTAAAGGAGAACAAATATTATAGGGACTTTAGTAAATTCAGTAACGAGCAATTCATTAACAACCTTAGCAAAATAAATTTTAACAATCTCGTTAGCCCCAGTGTCAACGAAAGTATGAACAGCATCATAAATGCTTTAAAAGAGGTTACTAATACGCATTGCCCAATTAGGAAAACTTCTAATACACAACAAAGACTGCTTAAAAAGCCATGGATAACAAAGGGGTTGTTATTTTCAATTAAAAAAAGGAAAAAAATGTTTAGAACTCATTTTCTTAGTAAAGATACAGAAAAGGTCAAACAATATAAGATATATAACAATAAACTAAATAAAATTAAAGAATTAGCTAAGAGAAATTACTATGCATCTCAATTTAATCTTCACAAGCAAAACATAAAAGCCACCTGGGCCTTAATTGGAACATTAATTCATAGGAAAAAGAAATCAACAACCTTGATCTGTAAATAAACCTTTTTATAACAATAGGTGTTATACTGAGCAACAAGATATTTGTCGAAAACTTAATTCTTATTTCGTTAATGTTGGACCTAGGTTAGCTGACAACATCCCCTATCACAATGACTCTAGCCCAGTCCAATATATTACAAGAAAATTCAGACACAGTTTTATGTTTCGTCCTATTGATGTCCACAAGGTGCGTCATATATTGTGCTGATTAAAAATCAATAAATCGACGATCGACATCCCACAAAAATGTATCAAACTGGCTGCTGACCACATTAGCAAAGCATTAACATCAGTCTTCAATTTTTCCCTTGAACAAGGCATTATGCCTGATATCTTGAAAATATCCAGAATAACTCCAGTAAATAAAGGTGGAGAATCAACTGATCCGTCTAACTATAGACCTATTTCTACTCTTTACTCTTTTGCACAAATATTTGAGAAACTAGTGTACTCACAAGTTTTAAACTATTTTGAAAAACATAGCATCTTAGGGAAGTTCCAATTTGGTTTTCGCAAAGGAAGATCAATGGAACAGGCTATAGTGGAATTGACAGATAATTTGAAAAAAGCAATTGATAAAAATTTCTACACTTGCGGAGTATTCCTGGATTTCTCGAAAGCGTTTGATACTGTAAATCACCAAATACTGTTGAACAAATTAGAGGCATATGGTAACAGAGGACTACCACTAAACTGGTTCTCTAGCTACCTTACGAACAGGCAGCAATACGTAACATTCAATAACCAGGAATCTCCCAAACAGACAATGGTATGCGGCATTCCACAGGGAAGTTCCCTGGGTCCATTACTGTTTTTAATTTATATTAATGACATATCAAATTGTTCAGACAAAGTATCTATTAGAATATTTGCCGACAATACTAATATCTTTGCCTCCTCCAAATCAATTATAGATCTTGAAATATTAATAAATGAAGAGCTTACCAAAGTAAAAAAATGGTGTGATTTGAATAAGCTCTCTATAAATATAAAGAAAACTAATTATATGATAGTTAAATCTTCCAATAAAAAAATTACCGAAAATATAAATATTAAGATAACAAATAAAGTTGGAACAATTTACTGCCTTGAAAGAAAAGAGCATATTAAGTATTTAGAAGTGTTAATGGACCTTTAACCTTATAGCTTGCGGGGCCGCAATGCATCTGGGAGTTGGGTATCTTTTGCTATCTTGTTCCAAAATGGTAGCCATGTTGCAAAAATTTTATCGAGTGTCAGAATTCAATATTTTCACTTGTTTACATGTGGCAAATAACCGCCTCAACGACGTATTTTTGACGGGGTTACTTTCGACGACATTTGTGGAAAAAATGAGCGAAATCGCCACAGTGATGGCCAAGAAAAGGCATTTCATGTCGATCGAAGGAGTGGGAATATTTCGAGAAAAACATTCTCTTCGCAACGTAGGAGACGTGAGTGTCCTTCTGCATGATATTTTAGCAAATTCTTTTAGTCTGTGGCTATTTCCGGGAGTTTTTTCTACCCCTATTTCGTATTAGTTGTACTCTTAAACGTCTGATCTTGTAGCCCTGAGAGGTTTACTTTGATACATATTTGATTGATTGTTTTCGAAATTAACATGGCCGACTGGCCTTTAAAGCTGGGTTACAGTCCATTCTGCGCATGTCTCAAATGTGTACACATTTTGTAAACATTGTCATAGATTAAATATTACGTAATACCTAACTGTTTGCAATTCAGAGAAGATGGCTGACGCACAGGAGTGTCAAAATTCTAATTGTTTTTAACTCGCTTATATATTCACATCAAAGCAAGAAATACGGTCAAAAAAGAAACTTTATATCTAAAAAAGATGTATCTAAAGTGTGTTTTTACGAATATTAATTATTCCGTTATGCAAATGTTTCAAAATCAAATATAAACTAATTGTATACGAAACCGCTTGTGTATCTTGCTCGGTGAAACTAAACGTTAAGGTATCTGTGGTATTGGATTGGCAAAATTAAATTATACAAAATAATATGAATTCACCCCAGTCATTGGATAAGTAAGCTCTTGTTACAAATGGAAATGCATATCAAATATCAATTTCAACACGCTATGACGCTAAAGCAAAAGTTGACAATGGCCGACTCGCGACCATCTACTTGAGAGTTTCAAAGGCAAATCCTTGTCGCCAAACCCAACCAGGAAATCGAAAAGAATATTTCGCGAAAAGGTATATATGCATCGAAAGTGTTCTTGAATGATCCTATAGTATTAGTCGGTGGAATCATTTCAAAACTGAAGCTGGAATCAAAAGTGACGAGGGTTCGCGAATACTCTGGCAACTCTGCTGATCGAGCTTGCATACGAAACATCAAGTGGGAATTAATTGTGGTAAGTATATAACAGATATCCCTGGATATTTCAATTATGTTAATATTGTTATGTTTCGTCATTACAAAACTTTATTGTGCACTTATAGTGCTGTGGAAACCCAGACGGATGACAGCAGCCAGATGAAACAATGCCGCCATGCGCCAATGTCCAGCAAGTATATGTTCAGTATATGTTCAGCAATGGAAACAGTGATGGAATCATGTAAAGATTCTTACTCCTAAGCAGTATGAATACTGAATACATCCTACAACTTACAATGAAGGTATGTATGACATTTTATGCTTTTCTGAGCCTTGGTGAGAAAAAATATGACTTTTGGTTTTTATTGTGAAATTCATTTTCTTATCACATTTTCAAACAAATCTTTTGATCGATCATTCTGTAGGCATGTTAACGGGCACAGTAGCACCTGCTTATTTGTTTGTTTTAAGAGCACTTAAATGTTTTTTTGGAAGCAAAATTTTGATTTGCATGAACATTAATAAAATCAAAATTTGGCTTGATTAAGTGCTTTTAAAACACATTGCTCAGCAGGCACTAATGTGCATTTAAACAGGAATAAAACTAATTATAAGTCTTCTTTAGGTATGGGGATTGGTATTGCAAGTGATGACCGAAGGCTGCTAACATAGCCCCTGTCCCTCCTTCAGTCAAAGAACTTGTTGAAACCCATCAGTTTCTGTGGGTAGTTGGAGCTCATAATCCCTGAAAGGTAGTCCACCCTAGGAGAAGGAAAATTCTGATTTCAAACTCTGGACCCAACTAGTGGGTCAGGCTGTCCATGTTGGATTCATTAATCTTCGGTGTTTCCCAGGCATGCTGATGAGCTCTAATGCAGAGCGAAACAGCCATACACTTTTCAGAACTGAAGTAAGGAGCCAGGAGTAATTTTGAAGAATAAAAATATCAATGTCAGTACCAAATGTTGTACTGGGACATCCAATGCATTTGATAACTTGTCTTTTATAAAGTGAAATATTACTGTCCATAAAGATTTAACGCATTAAAATGATAAAGGCTTTCATATGTTAGCAGAATTTGCTGTGGTTAGTAGACAGAGAAAGCTTAAAATAAATTTGAAGCAATGGGGCACATTGCAACATAACCTATAAAGGCTAGTTCACACAAGCAATTTTATTTTGAACTGCAATTTTCTTCTTTTGGTGTATGTGTTAGAGTGAATAATCACAACAAATGTATGAGCTAAGCCATGCAAAGTAATATTTCCTGTAATTTTGCTAATTAAATCACATACTGTATGCCGAAAGGAGAAAGTCACAGTTTAAGATCGCTTGTGTGAACTGGCTTTAACAAGTGTGAATTACCCAAGTTCTTTCAAAATATTTAAAATGACCCTCCCTGTCATGGGAAGATAATTGCAGTAAAATAGGTTAATGAATAATAAAGTTTTCCTCAATGATCAATAACATAATAATAAAAACATGTGCAACAAATATTTACAATCTTGCAGGAGGAAATTGTCTCTGTATTGCTGTAACACAATAGCTTGGAATCATTATCCTGTTCCCACTTCCTAATCTTTTCATGTTGCCAGAGTACATATTGTTTGTAAGCAGCATGGTGAAAAATTTCATTGTTTCTAACATTATTTAACACTAAAAAGTCTTCCCGGCCCTGTAATGCATGGCCAGGTCCAGAACGTTTCCATCAAGTACTAACTGTGGGGAACAGAGGGGCTAGGGTCATGCAAGGCTGTCTTGTTTGTGTACAGCATTTGTTTTCCAATTGACCCAATTGTGTTGGTATTGCAACACAACATCCACATTCACAACATTCTGGGACATTTTCTGGGTTTTCCTCTGGGTCTGGCTGAAGCGGTGCACCTGGCAATTGATTATTTACCAAATCGGCAATGCTCTTAGGGCATTTAAAATTAAATCCATTGCTTCCACAAGATTCTGAAATGTAAAGATATTTATCATTAATTAAATGCAAAGATTCAAGCACAGTTAAACACTGATATTTCTTACCACCACTTCCTCTGTAGACTTGTATTAGACGGGAAAACTCTTTTTACATAATTTGATATTTTACTCGGCAAGGATATGTATAATTGTGCAGGGTATGTAATAAAAAAATCATATGTTAAAGCTTTCAGAAATGTACTGTCACTCAAAATCTCAAATGTAAACAATTAAACTATGTAAACAAAGTTTATTCATCTGATTTGTATAGATGATCATTATCCTTCGTTTAGAGTGAATAATCACAATGAACAACATTACATATTCTCAAATGAACATTGTTCAGGCCATTTTTTGCGTAAACGAAACATGTATAAATTATTGAACGAAAATAATAAGATTACATGTGTGAACCACGTTTAATTATAACGAACAGTGTTAGTACATAGCTAATAGCAATAATACAAACTCACCGTCTGGTCACTGTCACGTTCTTGAACCCTTCTATTGTTCATACATGTATCAAAATCCTCTTCATGGCATGCGCTTGAGCAAAAACTACCCATACTTTTGCAGGCTCTCTATCGAAGACAGAAGCCGCGACATGAATATATCGTCTCCATTTCTTGCAGCGAAAAGCTTTCTCCGAGTGTTTCTGCCATGACGGCAACAATGACTCTGACAATGTGTTTCGACGAACAAATACTCCAAGGAAAGATTCATGATTACTTTCATTGACGCATTTACAATGCCGAACATTATCAAAACACAATGAGTTGCGAACTCGCACCTTTGCTGTGTCGCGGCCTCTTGTGAATGTTTCATTAACGAGGCACACAAAAGAAAAATTACGAATTGATCAACAATATATCTTCCATTGGTGGTCTGTTAAAATATTTAATTGCTTGTCTGTCAGACGACAATTTAAAAAAAAAAAACTTCACTCCTGACTCCTTCATTTTAAAATTTGTTTATTGCGTTGCCGTTATACTTCATATTATACAATTGAAGTGGATCCAAACCAAAACAAAAGATGTAAACAAAGCCCGTACATGCGCAGAATGGACTGTAACCCAGCTTTAAACTTGAGCAGTTTTGGCGTGAAAATGAGCCGCTTGAATTCTGTTTTGTTTAAAATACACTAAAGTCATACTTGCTCGTTATTTTGCTGCTGTTTTTGGTTCTGTTTATCCTTCGAGGCTGCTCTGGTTTTTGTCTTCCTAAAGCTTGTTGGTATCACTTGAAATAATATCAATACGAAGTAATTTTTAGCCTATGCTAAACCATAAATTTCCTATCTAAAAATTAAGTTTCGTATTGTTAAATTGTTTATTCATTTAGTAGGGCGATAGGAAATATAATTTAGCTTTAACAAATTGTTTTTAATAAATATAATTTAGAAATAAATTTTAAAATATCATATTTGTAAATATTGTATATAAAATTATACATATTTTAGTGTTAGTTATAAAATTTTATTAAATATAATCAGTTCTAAATTAATAAACTAGTAAGTATAAATGGAAGACAATCCTTGCACCTCAATGGATGCAGACCAATGCACAGAGCAAATAGAAATGCAAAGATGGACCAAAGACCTACGGTCACTGCCAAAATTTAGCCATGCCTTGCTACGACAGCACTTGGGAGTTGAAGGGGAAAATTATGCTAGCAGACACAAGAAACTGGGACATCGCTTGTTTAAGGATAGATATGTAAACAGAGTCGAAGTTAAAGCTGATGTTTTGAAAGGTAGCGAAACTCACTTCTTGCTAAAAGCTTGTGTCAATGCATCAATGAAGAAACAAATATATATTGTTTATGTTCATCTAAATCGGAACACTGGTGAAGTTACACATGGTAGTTGTACTTGTAAGGCTGGCAAGGGAGGCCTGTCGTAAGCATGTTGCTGCTGTTCTCTTTCAAATTCTTGATTATATTGAGTTGGAACTAACAGAGATGCCAGACGATTTGACGTGCACACAAGTCTTACAGCAGTGGCATGTGCCCGGAGGTAACAAGGTTGACAAGCCTGTTTTATATGAGGATATGACATTTGAAAAGGCATGCTATGAAAAAGATGCAAAGGGCAGAAAGTGCAGTGATGGAAAAAGCAAAGCAGATAACTTTAATCCCACACCACAATTTGCCAGAAACATAACACAAGATAATATAAAAAATTTACACACAATTTAGAACAACAAGGTAAAGCTGAATATCTCAGACTTGTGCTAGAATCAAATGATTACCAACCATACAATTTTGACCAAATTCACCAAAGTCTTCCATCAAAAAAACAACATGTAGAGCTAATGGAAACTGAAAATAATATTAATGATAATAAAGTAAGGGAAGAAGTGTTAGAGCATATTGTACACCATGGTGTTAATTGGTCCTATGTTGATGGGGACAATGTGGAGTTTGTGGGAGGTTTGAGTGTAAGTGATGAGAAGTTGAGAGAAATTGAAAGGAATACCAGAAGTCAGTCAGATTGTGATAGGTGGTTTGAGGAGAGAAGGCAAAGAATTACAACTTCGAATTTTGGGACAATTCTTAAAAGACGGAAAAATATACATCCAAAGTCCTTAATGAAAACACTACATTGTAGTCTAAAAAACGTTTGTCCAAAACCTTGCAAATGGGGCAAAGATAATGAACTGGAAGCTATAAGAAAATACATGGAGTGCAAGCAGGCAATTCAGTTGATGTGTGCTCGGCATGTGGTTTTATTGTCAACCCAAGTTTTCCTTGGCTGGGTGCAAGCCCAGATTTTCTTGTGAATGATTCAAATGAACAAACATGCTCTCTCGGGCTTGGTGAAGTCAAATGTCCATTTTCGAAATGAATGTTCGAAGTGAAGTCAAATGTCCGTTTTTGCCATTTAAAAAAGGAGGGATATTTAAGGTTGTGTTAGCGGGGAGGTCTTCCTCAATGTCAAAACTCTGGTCGGCCATAACTTGATCACCCGGCTCAAGCAGATTAAGGTCCCACAGTCCTTTGTCAGTTTTTTGTCACTGGTTCGACCAGCATACAAACTGGAGACAAAACTTGGGGACACACCAAGCAAACATTTTGCAGTATTATGGTTTTTGTATGATGAAAAAGTGGCAGATTGGCTCCTGCATGATGACGGCATTTCAATCATTATTTCTGTACAATCGATAATGACTCTAGTTTGTGGAAAGTTTTCCTTGAAACACAAAGGCATATTTTTATCAATGCATTCTCTTGTGGGCCAAATAGGGAGTGCACGTAATCGCTGATTAAGAAATGTCAGCCAAGTAATCCAAATTCGGGATACATGCATACACGATATGCCAAATCTGTGTGTTAGATCTTGTTGCAGGAAACCACAATTCAATCTAGCCAACACCATAAATAGCTCTTGCTCTGGTGAGGTGGACCTTTTCTTGCCACACTTTTTCTGTTTAGCTGTGGTTATTTCACCAGTACTTGACCCATAGTAAATCAAACTAGTGCATGCTGGTGACAAGTAATCAAAAAAAATTTTGAATGTTGCATAATCTGGGAAACCAGTATAAAATCGAAAATCACTATCACTCCCAATAAATCTTTCCAATCGAAATAAGTATTGCTGTGATGACATTTTATAAGTCTCAAGGTCTTTTTCAAGGGATGTACATTTGGATTCGAGTTGTTTAACTTGCTCTTTTAATTCAGCATTCTCAGTTAGCATGTCATGCTCTGATGTTGTATTGCCATATTGACTAAAGTTAGAAGTAATTAGCTCATCTGTCAAAGAACTAATGTTTGTGTTTTCAGTTGCCATGTTATCTTCAGTTGCCATGTTATCTACAGTTGCCATGTTATCTTCAGTTGCCATGTTATCTTTAGGTGTTATCATATTGCTGCATTCACAAATATCTTCGAAAGAAGTGTCGTGAGGCTCATCTGGTAAGGGGCTATCAGGCTTTTGCAACACTCTCTCTCTCTTGGTTGATTACTTCCACAGTTCGTAAATATGGTTGGACTATTGTTAATGTACTTCTTTTTTCCGTCAGGAAAATGTGCTGAGCACACCCTGTAATAATGCTTTATTTCCAACAACCCCTTTGTTTTTAAAACTTTATGCCATTTCTTTTTTAGTTTCTCATCATTAGGCATTGAG